ATTATCCATCACATTTTCTGAAGTATTTTGATGACGTTAACAACAACCCTAACTCTCACAAAGATAATGTACACACACATACAGGAAAAAATAATAAATAGTTGCGATTGTACAGCTAAGTGAATAAATTCGTCTAAAAGAGACTCTTCGGTGAACTTCGTGTTTTTTTCATTAATAGACGTTTAACTACTGAATAATTACAAGTAACATGTTTTCCGTGCAAAAATATGGGCATCAGAAGCAATTCGTCTTGAAATTTCCATTTACGTATCCATGAGAACATAGTTTGGTACATGGATCTAAGATAATCGTTATTTGTGACTGAAGCAAAGTGTTTCCTTCAGTGATTTAGAGGCATCAAGTAATCGGAAGTTTCAAAGTATTTATGGGCAGTCCTTCATTTAATCAGTAGTTGGATGAAGGATTTCATCATGAGCTGATATCAGTGGATTAATGGTCTACGAGGTCACCTTGTGACCAGAACGTCCTGGATTCGAACACCACAGTGTGGGTGAGTACTGATGAAGAGCCACAAACCAGGATGAAACTGCTGTTCAGTACTCCCAGGTGTTCCAATCGTTCTCTAACTGATGTCATCTTGTGATGAAATCCTCCATCCAATCAAAGAAAATCCCTACAAAACTAGTAGTTGACGTGTCTGATGTACTGTCATTGTAACAAACAATGCTAAACTGGTTTGTGTAAGTGTAACAAACTTACTCCCATACCCATTATACAAAAGATTTGGTCACTTCCACCTTTTCTCAGATGAATGTCTTAACTGTAAGCCCTCTATTGCCTTTATTGACAAAAACACCACTTTTAACTTTAAAAGGTGAAATGAGATTTTGAATTACTCTACGAATGTCTGTTAATTATAGATTAACCTGAATGGTACTCTGTAGTACTCATTTAGTTCTATAAGTGATTAGGAGTGTATCAGTGATTCTTCATTACTTCTTCCAATACAACTGCAAATTCATTTGACCTTTAGAGACTAGTAGGTTCTTATAGATTATTTAAAAGCTAAAATCCTTCGGTAGGTTGATGGAAATTGTGGAAATTATTATCTGTTTGAGCCTTACTGCTGTTATTCCTTTGAGTTCCAAGTGGAACGGAGGGCTTCAACAACACATCTCCACTTTCTTCTATTTTCTTCGGTCCTCTTCGGTTGGACACACGCGATCTCCTCCATCTCACCCCCGCACTGACATCCACTTGTCTCTTCCCATAAGCATCCCACTCGATCGATGGCCTGCATTGAGCATGTTGTCATTCGATGGCCTCCTCAGTGTATGCCAGATCCGTCTCCATTTTCTACTACATATTTGTTGAGTGATGGACTCTTTGGTGGTTTGTTGCCAGCCAGAGTTTCTTGTTACTAATTTTTTCTGGCTGGCCAGCCATATGATCTTCATACATTTGTTCCCCTTAATGAATTTGAACAAAACAACAACTACAGATTTTGCAGAATAAAATGGTACCATATTTTATTTCGTCGCCTTCTCTTCAGCTGCTTACAGGGCAAAAACATTATTAAATGTATCTAAAATAACAATTTAACATACTTACACAGAGTTCATTTTAAACAGGAATCAATCGATCAATATACACATACACTAATAATATATGAACATAAATATATATATATATGCAATATTGAACACAATTCCGAGCAATAATAATCATACAAAATGAAAACTTTTCAGTATCTCGCATTAGGATGAAAAATATCCAGTTACCAGGGCAAAGAAAGACTGATAACTGCTTCTTTCTGAACGCACAAATCAGGTTTTAGGCGCTTGATGGAAAAGGCTTCGGCAAACTTAAGGAGCATTGAACTCTTTTGCTTATTGATAATTTTGAATGACTTTTCCACGTCCACCTCATGACCCGTGTCAAGATCTTCATTATGGAGCTAGAAAAGGCAGTTGTTAATAAAAGTCTGCAGTGACTTGTTGGAAATCCTTTTCTGACTCATACAGAAGAAGTGACTGTCTTCACATTTGGGTTGTAAATCCAAATCTTGTTCTTTGTGCTGAGTGCTGAGCGTACTACATTGTAAAAATGTACTGTGCTTGCTTTCTTACTAACTGACACTTGTTTGGTTGATTCAACATGCCTACAAAAATTTAAAAGAATGACTAGTGAACAAAGAGCATTCTTTCGATAAATTCGTCATCAGATCCTACATTTACATGACACTAATAATTAAAGAAGTATTGTTATTAACAACTTTAATGACCTAAATTGCACTGAATCAATAGTATCGATAGATTAGATTTCAAAATCATTAGTAAGAGATAATAGATATTAATAATAACACCAAAATGAATATATCAGATAAATTAAGGGAAGTAACATAGAATTTATGACTTTATAGGTTCGAAAGCAGGCCAGGCTATCAATAGTCACTGGCTGGACTTGTTTATTTAGTACTCAGAGCTCCGGTTAATTTAAGGGAATCACAATAGGCTCTGCTTTTTGGAGTGTTAAGTATCTAAAGGCCTTTGGCAATTTATTCTCCACTAGATAGATGATAGAGAAAGACATTTGGATGGGTTTAACAACACCTATATTTAACCATACTGGTGAGTGTTCCTGAGCATGAAAAATTAAATTCCTAGAGCAACAGCAATTATTAACCGGCTCCACAGGAACAGTTGAACTTATAGATACATTTAGAGATGGCTAGTCTACCTTCTTTATCTCTGAGTTACGGAATCGCAACCGATTGTGTGGAGGATATAAGCTGTGGCATATATTGCTCCCAGGTTAACTAGCTAGCCATCCAGCTACTGGATGATAGGACGATCCAGAAAAATCCAAGATAGGGCGGAGTGGAAGGCCAGTTTTGTGTATTTTCGGTAGACCGTAAAGTCTTGGTATTAGAGATCCTGTTGGTCTGATCTTTTCGTATAATTCTTCACGAATGAGATGATTGTTCTTCATTCTTTTAAAGCTTCTGTAAGTTCTTTCTCAATTGATTCCGTCTTATTTTTCTCGTTCGGTTTCGAGAATTTACTGCTGTCTGAAAGTAGACCTGACATTTTTTCGATATAATCCTTACGATCCATAATAACAACACCTGCACCCTTGTCAGGGCGTGTTAGTAATATATCGTTGTTATGTGTCAAAAGTTTAAGTTCTTCTTTGTGCTGTTTGGTCAGAAGACTTTGCATTTTTGATCTTGCATTAAGGTATTGATTGCAAGAGTCAGTGATTGTAGATTTGAAGCATTGGAAGTCCTCTTCTGACGATGGTGTGAGATCATAAGTTTGACTGAGTAGATTCTCAAACTGGACATGTGTATTTAGCTTGTTGGCATTGAGATTAACATCGCAAAACTTCGAACCCATTGACAAGGCTTCCATTTGCAATTTTGATAGGGATATAGAAGAGTGAATGAACACGTATCTCTCAGAATTCTCAGGAAATTTTCGAAGACATTCGATAGATTTTAGGCTATTAGATAGCTTAGAATTAAAAGACAATGTTTGTTTGTTGGTGATGTGTGTTCCATTCCATTAAGGACTCCTTAGCAGTGGGAACACCATCACTCCCTTAAAAATACAGCTACACCTAACTGTTAAGTCCCAGAATAGGACAAAATGTGCATCTTGGATCCCACTGCTGATCACCATCAACCACAACAAAAAAACGACATTTGTTTATTTCATTCCTGAAATGAAGGCCAGTGTTGCATTATAACAACAGATTTTTTCTTCACATTTAAACGATGAGTTTATTTATTTTTAAATGAGTTTCTAATAATAATAGTAATACTAATAATAATACATGTGCATTTTTGTTGTACGAAATTCCATTTAAAAGAAAAATAGTTTTAGATTGACTGACAATAAGAAAAAGAAAACAATGTTCAAGTCATGACTGTAACTGGAAAAAAAATCAATAAGTCTCTAACTAATCAATAACTAATGATGTGTACATCATCATTCTCCTTGATGATGATAGTTGTGTAGCTACACTTTCAATGAACACATAACCTTCAGCTTAACTAGTCTTCATCAGTAGGTTGACAGTAAATTTATATATATCCAGTAAAAATTAGATCATTTCAATTTACAAAACAAGATATAAATAAAATGGTATCTCACCAGGCTTAACTATAATATATATAAGTTTACAAATAAAAATAAATAAATAATAAAAACCAATCATGGTGTTTTGTCTATAGGATAATACGATGGTGAATATAAATTGTGCAATTAGTCATAATAGTGGTAATGACAATAATAATAATAGTAATAATAAAAATGTTCTTATCAGTTAAAATGGATGAAAAAGTGAGGCAATCTTTGATAACACGAATAATGAAAAAAACAGTATGATTATTTATCAATTCATTTATCAATTCAACTGCACCTGTGGTGACAGTTATATTGGGCGTACTACTAGACAGCTTAGCCAATGTGTTAGTGAACATCTCCCATCGTGGTTTGGCAAAGGACAGACAAAAACAATTCGTAGCTCAATTTTGTCACACTTAATTGATAGTGGTCGTGTAATCGAGAAAACGAGAGCCTTCAAAGTAATTCATCGTATCCCAGCGCATCTTTCCAATAGACTTCATATTCGTTTATTGCACACAGCTGAAGCGATAGGCATTCGAACTATTAAACCTAAACTATGTATTCAAAAAAAGTTCGTACAGCCATTATCCCTCCCTTGTTGGCCTATTAAGACATAACCAACTGATGACTTCTACACCACCCTTTGTTTATATTTTCAACCCCTTTCTTATCATCCCTTAATCTTATCACATCTTCATTAAAAACGTGTCTCATTTACTTCCCTTACAATCTAACATTACTTAATCGGTGCATTTGTTTTTACTAGCCTTTATCGACTACTTCCACCTGAATAGTTGTTTGTTTAATCATATTGTTTTTTCATTATTCGTGTTATCAAAGATTGCCTCACTTCTTCATCCTTATTATTGATAAGACCATTTCTATTATTACTATAATTATTATTAATAATAATAATAATAATAATAATTTTGCTTTATTCCAAAAACAGTATTAATGATACAGCAAGGAATTTTCAGCATTCAGTACAGTATTGCATCTAATTTACTCAAAAACGACAACAACAAACAAAAAAAGTAGATAAACGGAATAATTAATACATAATAATGATAACAAAACGTTTTTATAGGAGCTATGTAGCAATTACAGTAGAGGATAAGGAGAAAAATATAAAATTATAGTAATAATAGTAATAACAACTAAAATAAAAATAGCAAAGTTATAATTAAACGATAGAAAGGGTGACACCATAGAATTACAGAAAGATGAACAATGAAAGGGTCGATTCACTATGCTAATTACATAGTAACTTATATGTTTCACGTCTAACAGTGTCTTCATCACATAAAATACGGGCTAAGTACGGTATTGTAGAATTTTTGTACTTAGTGGTACGAGCATATAATTTCTTATATTGACTTCTCGTTCTACCTGATGAGATACAAGGGGATAATTGTGAATAAAGAGGGTGCAGAGGGTCTGACAGTACGGCCTTTGCCCAATTTTTACAGGAATTTACGTGTCTCTCGACTATGGTATTGGCGAGATCACGCAGTGGCAAACCACAAGCCCTACTCACAGCATTTAATACCCTTCGTAATACGGCATAGTCTTTTTTAAGAAGCCCAGGAAAGATTAATGGAGAACAATAAAGTAAAATGGGTAAAATACAGGAGTTTAAAAATCGCAGAACTAAAGGTTGGCTGATACCTTGTTGTCTTAACTTTTTAATGTAGAAGGTAAGACGAAACATTTTCTTAGAGACCAATAAAATGTGAGATGACCATGAAAGGTCCGAGGAAAGAACTAATCCAAGGTATTTAATGCTTGATTTGGTTTCAATTTCTGTACCATCTATGCTACAGGCATCATGGGAACTAACTAGTTCATGTATGTCACGTCGATGGTTGAAGGTAAAGTTAACTGCCTGACATTTGGAAGGATTTAACATAAGACCATTTGACTTAGACCACATGCTGATGTCCAACAAAAAGCTATTAAGTTTGGAGCAGTCAGACTCAGAAGTGATAGGCAGTGATACAGTCAGATCATCAGCATATTTGACAAAATTGGTTTCGTTTAAATGTGGCAGGTCATGTAAGAAGAAAGAAAAAAGAAAGGGAGAGAGGACGGCACCTTGAGGAACACCGGCTTTTGTAAGCAAAGCAGAAGAAGATTTGCCATTATATGCAGTATACTGCATTCTATCAGAAAAATAAGAATGCAACCAACTCTTAGCCCAGGATGCTGTGTGCGTCAAGGAGAGCTTATTTAATAAAAGGCCCCTAGGTACAGAGTCAAACGCAGATGTGTAGTCTAGGAAAGCACCACGGACATATTTGGCACCTTTGTCTAAACAAGAAACAACATTATGATATAAGACAACCGCAGCATCCAAGGTACTTCTACCATGTTTATATGCAAATTGCTTAGGGTCATTAAAAGCTTTCAATGAAGGTTCAAGACGAAGTAAAAGTAGTTTTTCCATCAATTTTAAAAAAGGAGAAGTAATTGCAATAGGCCTAAATTTACTATCGGTACCAGAAGATTGTTTTGGTATAGGGACAATTTTAATGTTTTTCCATGCAGAAGGTAGAACATTACTGGAAAAGGAAGCATTAAAAATATTAGTAAGAGGGTAACACAAAATATCAGCACAGTTCCTGAGGACAATGGCAGGTACGCCATCAGGACCAAGGCTTTGGGAAGGCTTAAGAGAACGGAGACATTTAAGCACATCAAGGGTATTAAAACCATTAAAATTATTGTCTATGTGATTTGTATCATTAGGAAGGATATCGTCAGAGGAGCGTATGAAAGACTTATTAAGATTATTAACATTAAGAGATTGTACAGAATTACACCGCTTACCGCTAGTTATTTCTTTAAAAAGTTTCCATAAACTAGAAGGGGTTTTACATGACAAAAATCTTTGGTTGTATAAAACATTTAGTCTGTGCATTTCGAGTTTTATCAGAGGATTTAGCTTTTTTACACCTGACTTATCATTTGTTTTGAACAACAGTTCTTTATCTCTACGGAGCTTTTTGAGATATGGAGAAGAGAAACGGTCAAAACGAGTGAATAATGTTTCTTTAGGACAACATATTTCCAAACAGAATTTAAGATAATCTGTGGTGTTTGTGATTGTGTCATTTAATGTTTGTTCTGTAAATAGGTCCCAGTTAGTATCTATCAACATGCATCTGAGTTTGCTTAGATTATCTTGTGAGTAGCATCTCCGTTGAAATTTACTGTAGAGGTGAGAGAAGACACGTTTGTGTGATTTGGAATATATTTTAGGCAGTACACGTATGATGCAGTGGTCAGAGTTCAATACAGGAGCACGTTTGCGAGCTTCATATATACCAACATCATTGATGAATACTAGATCTAGTGTTTTTTCGAGACGGGTAGCAAAGTTAACAATATTGTCATGGCCAAGTGATATAAGGAAGGAGTGATCACAAGAGTTAAAATCGCCAGTCACTATTGATAAAGAGTTCTCGAAACAAGCTGCAGCAAAAGCGGTGAATTCATCTGCGAACATAGATAAATCCGATATGGTACAGCCAGGAGAGACATAAACATTAGAAATATAAATGAATTTGTATTTTGACAAGTGTCTCGGGCGACATCTGACAGTGATGCAATCAATGTAGTCATTCGAGAATTTGAAACAAACATTGTTAGAAATAGACCATTTTGAGTGAATAAATGTAGCTACTCCACCGCCGCATTTTTTCTTGGAACAAACACGGTCTTGTCGGAATACATTAAAATCATTTAAAGATACTATATTGTCATCATATGAGTCATGAAGCCAGGTTTCTTGTAGAGTTACAATACCAGTATTATGATAAGTTTCGGACAACAACAGGGACTGAAAATCCAGAATTTTGTTAGGCAGTGACCGACAGTTCGTACTAACGATAACCGGAGCAGTAGTTTGATGTATGGGTGTAGATTTTAAAGCACGTTGCCAACCACCATGGTGCTTTTTCTTGAGTTTATTGCAAATATGAAAGTTTTTAGGTTTTAAGCATTTTATATAATCCCGAGAGTGAATGATACGATTAGAATGCATAATTTTAAATGTAAACACCAACAAAATATGAGTAAATAGATGCAAAATGTACATGGAATATGGTAGCCCAAAATGTTCAAACAGGCCGCCAAGGTCAGTTTTCGAGACTTTTCATTACTACTATTATGACTAATTGCACAATTTATATTCACCATCGTATTATCCTATAGACAAAACACCATGATTGGTTTATATTTGAATTTTGATTTGTAAACTTATATATATTAGAGTTAAGCCTGATGAGATCTAATTGAAAACACAATATTGTTCGCTTAAATGTGTTGTTCTAAAATGGTATCTTTAAAAATAGTACAGACTCTTGTACCCGTCATTCATATGACAGATGACTACATAACTCCATTAATCTAAGCAAATATAAACCTTTTTTGATAATCATTTCACCTACCTGCTGAGTTATTGAACGATTAATGACGATTTTTGACATTATCATGGTTGACATACACGCTGATGCTCAAATTTTGTTTGCCACATGTTCTCAAATGTCATTCTCTGACGTCAAACTTACCACATTAATAGGTTTAAATAATTTCTAAGTGATTCTTTCAAACAGTTTGATTTCAACTAACTGTCACACAATTACACATAGAGCACATTCTATGAGCAGTTTGCCAAAAGCTATACCCAACAATCATACATTAATAAGTATGCTAATTAACAATATTCTCATTTTTTGTTATTTTCATTACTTCTTCTGATGGTGATTCCGTTTCAACAAGAACAATAGCTTATCTAAATCTTGAGATACCAACTGAAGTCATCTGGGGGAATATTGTAAATAAAAAGGCGAATTGTACGAATTTTTCACCCCAATTTAGAACTTTCCATAAGCCAATCCACACCATCATGTTCACGAGGAATTTAACCTTGAACCTTCTAAAAATGTGCTCTACTGGACTGGAGTCTAGCAAGTCATGAATTCTATTTTCTATCAATTTGCGACGTATTTCTAATGTAATGGTAGAACGGTAATGGGGGGAGTTGTTTATGGCAACTTGATGCACGGGTGCAGTAAAATCACAATTTACCCATTGCCTTCCATATTGTGCCATATTCTTTTGTCTTCGTTTCATGTTTCCTCTGCTATTTCACATGAACTGTTCATTTCAACTCTTTGGGCTTTAAATTTATCGCTCCACTATTCAATATTTTTGCAGAGGATATATGTATTTTTTCAAGCACTGGTCTGTAGGGATTTTGTTTGATTAGTTGGAGGATTTCATCATGAGCTGACATTAGTTATAGAACCATTGGAAAACCTGGGAGTGGTGGACAGCTAGCTGTTTTGTCAGCCTATTTTGGAACTCTTGGGCAGTATTCATCCACACTTCGGGGTTCGAACCCAGGACCTTCTGCTTACAATGCGATACCGTAGACAATGTATATATGTACTATCCTGTAAATACACATAGTAAATCACTCTTTTTACATGGAAGAATATGAGTGATTCGTTCAAGGTCGTTTGGCCGCATATTTTATCAGTTTTAGTAGATGAGTCACTTACTGTCAGTTAGAGAACCACTGATGTCAGCACATGATGAAATCTTCCATCCAATCAAACAAAATCCCTGCAAAACCAATACTTGGTAAAGTATTTTCATTCTCTTTGTTTACCGTGGCCTACCAATAGGTCAAGTGGGACCTTATTCAGTTCAAAATTTCATGTTTTATTGTGCCCTCCTGACTCCGTTTTACCTAATATACTTTACATCGTCAATATTGTTCGTCACCATTTGGATTAACACTAAGTTAAGCTTGTCTCCACTATTTGATGACGGTTCAGTTACAGGACTACTTTATTTTTAAAGTCACTCTGAAGAAAGAATATTCTTTTCAGTAAATTCTCTCCAGGATCTTGCGATTATAAAATATGATACTTGTTGGCGTTACAATAATGGTCAGTTATGCGGCGGATACATTTTTAACGTAGAATAACAGATTAGTTATGGGGTGACAAAATAAAAAGTATTTGTGCGACAAACGTGCTAGGCTGAATTCAGTTACAAAATATTGGGAAATGGGAATGGGAGACAATGGTGGTGATTAGTCATAAGAGATGGTTTCGTGGGATGTCGGGTAGGAAAAATTGTCAAGTTCAGTTCAAGGTTATAAAAGGTGTCAGGTGAGTGGCTAGTACAAAGTAGTATGTATCAAAGAGGAGATAGTGAGACTGCAACAAGAGGTTCATCATGAAATAATGAATGTGTGAAATGAAACAGGTGGAGGCATATATTGAGAAAAGAGATAATATCACAAATAATAAGTCCGGATAGTATAAATGGAAAATTCGATTGTATTGAGAGAATGTTTGAATGAAGGATATAAATTATTATTGTAATCATAAGCAAAGAAAAAGAAAAAACTCAAGAGGGATAAGGGGAAGAGGCACTCCTGGTGAGAAGAAGAATGATTAATTCAAGTTTGGCCGCGGTAGGAGCAGAGTCTGGACGTGTTCTTTTTGGATACAAACCTTCGGTTTAGTCGATCTTATTGCAACAGCTTCATCTATGTGTAGGAGACGTAAGCAAACTGTACGAGATAGAGACTTCGGAATTTGGTATATAACCATGGAAGCTGTGCTGGCGTAGATACGATGTCCAGTATCGATCGAGTGTGACAGAATCGAGCTTTCGATACTTTGTGCAGGCCACTCACTTGACACCATTTATAACTTTGAATTGACTTGTCAATTTTTCCAGCCCACATTCTACGAATCCGTTGTGACTAATCATCACCATTGTCTCCCATTCCCATTTCACAATATTTTGTAAGTGAATTCAGCCTAGCACGTTTATCACACAAATACGACTATTTATTTTGACACCCTACGATAACTAATCAGTTAGTCTACGTAACTATGTATCTGCCGCATGACTAATCATTATCGTAACGATAACAAATATTATATTTTATTATCGTAAGAACCTGAAGAGCATTTACTGAAAGGAATATTCTTCGTTCAGATTGACCTATAATATTTATCATTGCAATAATACAAGTTATGTGGCGAACACGGTTTTAATGCAGATTAACAGATTAGTGGTAGGTTGACAAACGTGCTGAATTGAATACAATTACCAAAATATTGTGATATGTGATACAATGACAGTGATGATTAGTCATTATGTGGAGAAGGAAAACTGACAAGTCAGTTCAAGGTATTATAAAGGTGTCAGGTGACTTTTAGTTCATGATATGGGAGGGAGTATTTCACATTATTTTACTATAGTATTCATTTGTCAGCCTTGAACTTTAAATCATAGTACTCCATTTGTTTGTCTATATTTTTTGTGCTCTTCATATTTCCCTCACACCAATAACTACACTCATCCCTTGAAACTTATATTTTTATTGATTATTAGTACACAAGCAGGTCACAAAACTGTCCATTCACATTTTGAACAACACATTCACATTTTCCCCTATGTTCTTAATGTTTATACTTTTTATATGCATTTAAATGACAATTAAAACCAAAGGACTATTTCATACGTGTACCTCAATACAGTTTCTGACATAATTTTAATTTTCAAGAGTTGGTTTGTAAGGATTAGATTTGTTTTCACGAGTCTAACCCCGGATTTATATCAGTTCGTGACTTGCTACAGGACATAGTTTCCTGCAGTTCTAGTGAGAAGTCCTGACCAGTGAAGTCCATCCATTCAAGTGTGAAGATGGATGTCCCACCGATGACATTAGTTGGTGATCGCACTAAATCACGAACTGGTAAAAGTTAGAATTCATGGGCTGGTCACTGAGTCGAACCCCAGTGCCTGAATGGTCTACGAGATAACCTTGTAACCGGTAGGTCCTGGGTTCGAAACCCAGTGGGTGTGTACTGCCGATGAACCACACACTATGACAAAACAGCTGGCTGTCCAGTACTCCTAGGTT